ATCGTTTATTCTATGTTAGTTGTAGCCGAGGTTTAGATTTGCGATACAGGTTACTTTGCGCCATAATACTAAATGATTAGGGGGCGGGGTTGTTATTTAGTAACTTGTATACTTGCATACCCATCGACATAGCTGGTCATTGAAGTAAAGGCGAATATTTCTTCTACCATTTTCATGTAAACACAAACTCAATGGTACGAAAATGTTTTGCTGATACCTATGGAGACTGCCAACTGCTATGACATTCTCATCACAATCAATCCCTGATATTTGAATTAAAAACAATCAAGTTACCGGTGTACAAGTTCTTTGATAAAGTACAAAGTTATTTTACATCTTTTTCACATTTCTATTGAGCCATTTCTCGAAAACAATATACTGCTGTAGGAATTAAAAGGTTAAAGTGAATTCGTTTCATGAGTATCAAACATTGTGTAGTTGTAGGTTTGACTACTGATGTTTAATGTTAATGAACTTATTCATGCTACTCTAACATATTTAAATAGCTATAATGTGACCGTTTTATCTGTGTGATTTTAGGTCGGAGTCGCATCATTGTATATCCTGGCCCACCCTATTGTGAAAGTCATGAATATCACTTCCTGTGAACATTCGAATTACCGACAAAATAAAATAGCATAAAAATAAACGAAGTGTATATTGTCAGAAAAAAGTTTGAAGAAAATAATAAAATCAAAATTAGGTCACTAGATAAAAAATAATGAATCTATTTAATTTTGATCTTTCAGAATTTAAAGAAAAATAAATTTTTAATACTTGAGATCATAATTCAATTGAAGCTAGACCATCACGGAAAACCTAGAAGCACCGGATGTCTGTTTCGTCCTATTGTGGAACTCCTCAACAGTATGTATCCGCGATCCTTTCAGTTTTATATTGACAGTTAAAGAATCATTGACTTCATGAAAATTCGAACATAATATTACTTCAATCTTTAATATTTTCCTTTATTATATTTTCAAGTCATTGGCTATTTAGTTGATCAACCACTAGTTTCATCATTCTCAATAACATGTACATGAAACATTTCTTTCTGGATCTTTTTTAAATGTTCAAGTACATGAAAAGAGTTTTCATTCACATTCTCAACAACAACAGCAAAAAAACTAACATCATCAATCATTTCATCTTAAACTTCTAAATTTTGATTATCATCATTGTTGATTTTCATGTATCACGTGCTGGTAGGATAACATATAAATTGAGTTTTTGATTCTGTCCACAACAACTAATACTGTTTTGATCTTATTTATAAGGATAAACTAATTGTGAAACTTCAGAAAGACAGTTGAGAATAAGTAAACAATTTTATACTATACACAGGCTGGGACTAACAAATCTGTTCTAATATAACATAACAGAATATCTTAGTAAAATCTAAGAACCATACAGTAAATATTTCATTTTCAAATTATCTATCAACTGTCTTAAACTTTATTGTCCCTTCGTTTCCATATCAATCACTCTCTGTTCTCGTCCTCTTCTATTCTATTTTCTCAACCATCTGCAGCCAGGTATTCAACTTTCGATTGGTAATATATGCTACTCATGTCTGTCGACATCAGTAGCACACACCACACTATGACGTATAACGTAAATAGTTGTATCGTTTGATTTTATTTCAGAACGCTTCACTGCTATTAGTTTACAAACATATGAAAAAATTCAAAATCCCACATATCCTAACTTTATCATTATGGCCAGTTTTGGATGGTTATTGTTTGAGGATTATACTATTACTTAGTTGTTGTGGAAGTTTAGTGTATAACACACTCTGAATACAAAATAGAGTATACTAACCTAAAACAGTATATAACAATATGGCGATACAATTATTTAAGATTATTCTTATTCTGAAAGAAGTTAGAACAGCGAGAAATTTTGATCTGCACTATTGTTTTGTAGCTACATCCGAATTCATAACTTACCGATCCCCTTTTTATAATTTCTTATATATCCTTATAATCATATCTTGGTGTCATCAGAATAATTGAACAACAAGAAATACTAAGTCTAATATGAACTTTACTAGGAACGATAATATTTCAACCATCCAGATCGACTGATAAACTAACATTAAAAAAAGCTATTGTGAATGTAATAGTGAATGTGTCACATTAATGTGAATTTGGTTTGACAGTCGAATTGTGTGCATTTGTATTATAGATTGTTGCTTGAGTTAATAAACAGTTCAAAAACCCATTAAGGTGAAACTATAATTTATGGACCACCTTTGAGTGACGCTAGACTGACTTTGAGAGCACCCACCTAATAACTAGGACCAAATGAGGGTTATAAATTAGTGTGAGGAATTCGAATTATGATTTATAGTTGACGGTTAATGTTAGGAATTAGATTTAGGGTTTTCATCACGAATCTACATCAGCTATAATGCCAAGACTCTATTTAGCCAAATGGATGAGATCTGTTATCTTATACCTGACTGGTTTGTCCATAAATTTTATTCCCGTCCAGAATAATTAAAGTATAAACATGCACACACAGACAAGCGCACATAAGTAGAGATTTTATATTGATAAATGTTAGCATTTAATTAATGGGACGACTATACACGACACATTTAATAGTCAAGCTTTTAGTTATCGGAATATGAATATATTTACATAGGCGTGAATATTGTAAACTTGTAGTGATTTATACTGTTATCCGTCACGTCATTGAGTATGTTATTTGAAATTATCACATAAATTCCTTTAACACTTAAACATTATTCTTGTAACAATTGTGTATTTGATCATTTTTAAATAGAATTTTCACTTTATTTGTTTTACTAGAAACAGGGATAGACAAATTTCACAATTCATTTAATTAGTTTTTTTCACTGATTTGAGAGACCAAACAAATTTGTGACCAGTGAAGTTCAACAGTCTCAGATGTAAGTAAAGTACTTATGACAATCAATGGAAAGTGGCCGCGCAATGTCATAAACTTATTAGAATTAGACATAATCACAATTGATTGGTCACTGGGTGGTGATCAATGTCGTGCTTGTCTAGTCCTTATTAGTGCAGATCGAATGCTATCGATCATGTTGCAATGTGGTCACCAGTCTAAGTGACTCGACACTGCGGGCACTATATATTGGTTGGAGGTAGTGCTACTTGGCACTCGTCAGCAGGGTGTACCTGTAATTTTGAGGGAACTGGTGCTCCCTGGCGGATTCGATCTCGTGTCACCCAG